CAAGCCATACCGCTAAATATCCAAAGGTTTTTGGTAGAATCAAAATTCTCTTTGCCTTTTTACCTTGCTTGTCTCCACACGGAGCTTGGGGCTAAAGGTGAGCACACATCTCGGGGAAAAACCTACTGATGTCTCACTCTTTACCTTAGGACAAGACTGTCGCCTGTAACCTTGCAGCCTCCTCCAATCGCTGCTTCCCCAAGCAAGCACCCAGCTCCTGCTACGGTGACGAGGACAGAGGGAAAAAGGTGACCTACTCGCAAAGCGGTACAGCCAAGGACAGTGACGGGAACACGCTCTTTCTTTAAACACTGGACAATACGCCTGAAAAGTCAGAGAAAGGCTTCAGTCATTGGTGGGAAGACATCGCTGGAGTCTTCACACTTCTTTCTCGAGCCCACACACACGTGCACACCCACCCCAGGGGCCCCCACGCTCACAGTCAGGACCATTGCCGTCAGGCTGTTCCTCATCCAAATATTTACCAGGTCGTTTTCAAAAGGTTACAGAATTTTACTCATAGAGTGAATCTGATCTTTTCCAAGTCAGAGCAGGAAACGGGAACTAAATCATGGAGCTAATTGGGACAGACAACACTGGGGACAGAAGGGAGGGAAACCCATGGAGAACTGGGCATGGGGGTGTCAGAAGAAAGCCTGGAGCCACTGGACGGACAGGGAGGACAATGGAAACTCTCCCTTAAAGACCCCTCACCTCTGAAATCCTTCCTGAAAGTCCCCTGTCATCACCCCTAGGCGTCTTCAAGTTTCCCTTTACTCCTCAGGCAATCTCTTGCAGTTCATTCAAACCCTAGCCTGAGTGGTGGGTTGTGACCCCTACTGCCACCCCCAGGAACCCCTCTGCCTAGGAAGCTTCCCCCCTCCACAAGACAAAACAATCTTGTATGCTCAGCTAGAGCAATCTCAGGCTTCAAATTCCCATTCAAGATATGTTTCCTCTTAAATTTATGCTAAAGTGTAAATGACTGATGTCAGCTTGTTTCTTGAAACAGGTCTAATGAGCAGAGGCAGCAAGAGGCAGCTCACCTCTAAAGGAATAAAAGCTCCTGTTTATTGAGTGTTTACCGTGCCCTTTGCTTCTCTGACCTGTTAGATCTTCACAATATCCTTAAGAGGAAGGCATCAGTATCTCCATTTACAAGTGGAGAAACCAAACCCAGAGAGGGCAGGTACCTCACCTGAGAAAACACAGCCAGGAAAATAACATCAAAACTGCAAGTTAGCTGAGGTCTGCTGACACCCGAACCTGGGCTCGGTCCTCTGCCAGACCCGAAGTCCCCGTGTCAGCACTGTGTTTGCCACCACCGAGCCCCTGAGTGTGCCTGTGAAAGGGGCTGAGAAGCCCAGGCTGTAAGTTTGGGTCCTGATCTCCAAGAGGGTGCAGTGTGTTTGGGGATTAAGGGGGAGCGGACAGAGATGCCCAAGAGACAGCCCTGGGCAGGCAGGTGCCTCTGCCTGCTGGAAGACAGCGAGGCAGGAGAGGGTCATCACAGGGCGATGAAGGTGGGGGTGGGTGGCTCCCCCCTGAGGTGTCTCTGGAGGCGGAAAGGGTAAACAGTGGCGTCAGCCATGGGAGATCGGTTCCCCTGGACCTGCATGTTCTGTCTTTCTGGGTCCCAAAGTCTTACCTTCTTCAGAGGGGAGCTGGCCTCTTTCCCTCCACAAGATTTTTGCGGAAACTAAAGGACTGTTTTCAGAGCTGTCAGAAAGGGCCCCAGTCCCCAGATGCCAGCCAGGGCCGAGGTAAGAATCCAGGTGAGCAATAATAAACTTGACAGGAGCTTGGGGATTTTTGGATCACAGGCACAAAGGCACAAAGACTCTTAAACTAGCAGAAAAAAAATAAATGTGTGTGTGGGTGGTTTTGAGGTTTCCGCACAGATGGGCAGAAACAGGCCAAGGAAACTCAAAGGGCTCCCTGGCGATGGAATTGATGGTGGGTGAGGTCAGCGGCCGCCGAGGATGCTCAGGATGCTGGCCTTTGTCTAGAAAACGTGAGCCTCCCCGAAGATACAGAGACATCGTGCACGCCCAGAAAGAGATTCCTGGCCCGCCCACAGCCGTAAACTGTGGGTCCTTCTCCACCCATTCCCCCAAATCCTGGGAAAACACGTTCCCAACACTGTGATGGGGGATGGGTACAATCACTAGACAATCAGTATGTCAAGACTCCGTCCTAGTTGCCAAAAAAGTTCATTTTTGAGGCAGGTAGTTTTCTTTTTAAAATCTTCATTTTTAAACTCTTAACATAATGACTGAATGGCTAATACGAAATGAATACATTTTTAAAAGGCTCCTTTGAAAAGCCATTCAAAGCTGAACTCGCGCAAAGGACCACAGGGAGGGAAGAGGGCGCGGGCTGAGCTGGCAGAAGGCTGCTCCCGCCCGTGCCAGCCCCGCGCTCCGACAGAACAAGTGTTGCATGAGATGTGAAGGATGGCTACGGCGGCCTGCGAGCCCTGGAGCAGGTGTTCCTCATCCTCATTTGCAGTGGAGCGTGGCCCCTGGCTCAGCGAGCCGCAGCCGGCGCCTGGCAGCCCCTCCTGTACCTGCGTGCGCAGAGGCGCTAATGATAATAGATGCGGGCCGATTAGCCAGCCCATTTGGAAAGCTCGCTGCAGCCTGGCTGGGGGCACCGGTGGGCGGTCATCGTGAGGGGACACAGGGATGTCGAGGCTCGGGGCTGTCCCTGGGGTACCCAGGGCTCTGGTGAGTTGGGCTCTCACAGAAGGAGCAGATGCTGGCCTCCGAGTCTCCTCCAGATTCACCAGGGCTGCAGTGACAGTGCTCCCCATCAAGTAACACAGAAGGACAGGTGGCCAGCTGCCCGCTCTGGCCTCAGAAAGCCCCACTGGGCAAGGCAATTTTGCTGGGCTTTGGGCCACGGGGGCCCGAGTGCATCCCCATTTGCTGCATTCCTGGCTGATAGCATCCTTCTGTCCACTCATTCCTGTGCTCACAGGCCCCCACACCTACTGCGGGCTCACTGACTTCAGTCACACGTGGCTGACAGCCAGCCTGCCAGGGTTCAGACTCCAGCTCCATCCCCTTCTCGCTCTGCCTCCTCCTCGGTACAGGTTCTGTGCCTCCTCGGTGTAGATTCTGACTTCCTCACCATAAGAGGAAGGATGATGGGGACGTCGGGACACTGAATTTATGAAGTAGGGGGTGGGGATAAATGAAGAACTGGGCATAAAATTCTTAGCACAGTGTCTGACACTTCTATGACTGAGAGATGCCAGTTCAAATACGTTACTAATATAATAAACTACTGTAATTAACGTTGTACTGCTGGGAGTCAGGCTGTGAGGACAGACTGGGGAACAAGACAGACATGCTCTTGCTTTTCCGAAAACCCCTTTCCAGGGATGGAGGTGGCCACGCAACTGATCAGATGCTCAGGGCTCCGAGAGAAGCAGGTGGCAGCAGGCGCAGAAGGCAGAGCCTCGAGATGTCCAGAAAGGCTTCAGCAAGGACGGACTCCGAAAGGCATCTGCAGAGATAGCCAGCGCTCACTCCGAGAGGCAGCGAGGTGCTGGTGTTCCAGACAAGGACTCAGCCTTCCGGGAGACGCAGCCACACCTGGAATGCTCAGCACACTGGCGCCCCACCGGGATGATCCAGACAGGGGAGGGGACTTTTGCTGTAGCCAAAACCAAAACAAACCTCCTCCCACTCCCAGGGCCACTCGGTCCCCGGCCCAGAGGCTGAGCAAGGGGGTTCCAAGCAGCCTGATCCATTATCATTTCACTTGAGGCTGCCTTGTGAGGGAGGTGTGGGAGGTGCAACCAAGCTCTTCTGCAGGACAGAACGGTTTGCCCAGCGTTTGACGAATCACGTGACTAACCAGCTCCCCACCTGGATGCGGGCAAACCCGGCCTGACGCACAGGATGCTCTTCAGGGCTGATGCCCTTACCCGGCTGCTGGAGAGAATAGCTGATTTTCCACAAGGACTCACTCTCCAGACTCCTTAGGAAGGCAGCTTCCTGCTGCTTATAAGCGCCTGCTTCTAAACCAGGGCTAAGTTGATGGCAGGGCTGGAAGCTCAGGAAAAGTGAGATTTTATGCATGTTGAAGGTCAGCTCGAAAAGCAATCAGACAGCTTGGCTGTGGACAGTGGGCTGGAAATGGGCTCAGGGCTCCGGAACCACACTGGCCCAGGACCCCTGGGGGCTGAGCTGGTGTCCTCAGCCGGATGCCCAGAGCACCCCAGTTCCAGAAACGCTGACCCCTCTTCCCACCCGGGGGCATCCACAAGGCACCCAGAAGCCAGCAACTCCATCCTCTGTGAAGACACCACTCACATCCGTTTCCTGCCCATTTGCCGTCTTCTTCAGGCTCCAGGTCCCTCATTCTGACCGGCCCTCCACGTGGTCTAGAGCGTGGAGCCGCTGCACCGGCTGAGGAATGCATTTCAGACGAATGCTTCAGCCATGCGTAGGACACCGACACCCAGTATGGGAGCAATTTCACTTCTTAATTAATAGCTGCAGCAACAACATTTTCAACCTGGCCATAAAACATCCCCCGCCTCCTCGGATCCGGGCTCTCGGCGCGCTGCAGCGGGCCCCGTGGCCGGCCTGGGGAGCGAGGGGCAGTTGACGAGACACCTCCGAGAGAACAGTGTTACTACAGTCAAAGTTAGGTGACAGGAGAAGCAAGGATGGCAGTGTTTACACCACAAAATTCCGAACAGAAAAGCACACTGTCCTCTGTTTGTCAAACAAGCAGAGTTATTATTACCATTGTTGTTTTATGGCCTTTTCTATAGAAAAAATACAGCATCATGGTTACTGAAGCAAGAGTGTAATTACACACGGCTGTGCATAGACTCAGCCATCAGCCCCTCGCCAGGCTCTCTCTGGAGCCAGCTCTCAGGTCCACGGTGTCATCTCTAACTCTCAGTCAGCTGGGGTCCTCCAGCCCAAGTACAACGGGGCACGGAGGCCCAGCTCCCTGGGGGGGGCCCCGCTGATCCGAGCCTCCAAATGAGATCTTCCCTGAAGCAAAGGCCAGTGAGTCCTCAATTCTCAGCTCAGGCACATTCGCCCTCATATCCAGGAGTCACTGTAAAGGGGGCAGAGGAAGCGACATAAACAGTCACGCAGAGGGAGGTCCCCGTGGACCCTGTCCCCACCTCCACCCTGTGAGAGATGGTGGCCGGCGGCAGCGGGGGGAGTCTTTCTGGAAGCTCAGCGGCTTCCCGCCTCCTCCCTTCGCAGCCTGCTCCGTGCCGGGCAGTAACTCCCACCACAGCCGTGGGGACGCCAGGCACCGCCCGTTCACCTTCACACCACCTCGTGGGGGTGACACAGTCGCCCCACTTCGCAGATGAGGGTGCTGAGCTCAGAGGCTGCGTGGGTTTCCCAAGGCTGGGAGCAGAGCTGGGATTTTAACTCACGCTGGCCTAGCTGCCCAGGCGCGCCCTCGACAGCTACACTGGAGCCGGGCCAAGCTGTGACCCGGGGAACCGCAGGGATGAGAAGGCCGTTCCAGCTGCAGACGCCGGCCCTCGAGGCCTCCCTGATGCAGGAACCGCCTGGACAGCAGCGCGGCCCTTGGGCGGCCCCTCTGAAGATGGGCTGGTGGCACAGCCCCAGCTGTTTGCTTCGGAGTCCAGAGCACCAAGCTCACCCACAGACGTGCATTGGGGGTCCCTGGGGAGTGTGTATCAGGGACAAAGATGACGAACAGGACCCTTCCTTCGAGGAGCTGGGGTTCTAACTCATGAGCAGACAGTTTCATTAACTGAATAGACAAAAGGGCATTTCTCTAGTCAGCTTGCTCCCGCTAAAGAAGTCAAGAAGAAAAGTAAATTAGAGCCGAAAGCTCCAATCGTCCGTGAGAATGACTAAATAATAAATATTGCAAAGAACAAAAAGATTTCTTATAAAATACAGTCTGCAGTGTAGGTTGGGGAGAGATTTCCACCGCACTTAAATCAGCGGCACTGCTGGAACCAGACCTGGACGTGGACCTGGGCCCCCACCGGCCTCCAGGAGGCCTCCGTGAGAACAGGAGGAACCTGTACGTGACCATCCCCACCGCACAGACCCCTCTGGGAGGTCGGATGCAGCAGCTGGACCAGGAGCTGCCAGCATCCAGAGGGGTGCCCCAGGGATCAGAGGGGCCAGTGAAGAGACGCATCCTTACCTAGAGATGCTCCTACTAAGTGAAGGAGGTCGGACAGAGCAAGACACGTAGCGTATATCGCTTATTTGTGGAATCTAAAAAATGACACAAATGAACTTATTTACAAAACAGAAACAGATTCACAGACATAGAAAATAATCTTAGGTTACCAAAGGGAGTGGGGGTAGGAATAAATTAGAAGTTTGGGATTCCCAGATACACACTACTATACATAAACTAGCTGAACAACAAGGACCTTCTGTAGAGCATAGGGAACTATATTCAGTATCTTATAATAAACTATAATGGAAAAGAATCTGAAAAAGAGTATGTATATATTTATGTATGTGTAACTGAATCACTTTGCTGTACACCTGAAACTAACACAACGATGTAAATTGACTATACTTCAACAAAATTTTTTTTATTTATAAAAGGAACTCTGCTCTTTGTGGGCGACCTGTCTGGTCAGGGGCCTTGAGTCCATTCCCGGGGACTGTAGAGGAACCTGTGAGGATGAGGGAGAGGGCAGAAAGAAGTTGAGCTCCATCAGCATTTCCATATCCCCTGGGTGCTCTGCACAGCGCCTTGCAGAGAACTGGAGTTTGAACAAATGCAGATCGTGTGAAGGACCAGCCCCACTGCGTGTTGGCTCTGTGGCCTTGGACAAGCCACTTAATATCTTGAATGCAACTGTCTTCACTTGCAAAACAGGTCTGATGCCATGAGCGACCCGGCAGGACTGTCGTGACGGCCACTGACATGAGCGCATCACGGAAACGCTCATTGCTCTTGACGCCGCCATCTTTATCCTTCACGCTGACTGTGTGGGTACGTGCTTTACCAACCTTCTAGATGGGTATTTTCCAATCTGATGAAAATAAACACATGTCTTGACTGGACCTACTGTCAGAGCATAGCTGTGGTGTGATTGAATGACCTTGAGAAGTCGATGCACAGGTTCCGCATCCGCCCGTCTGCTGGCCGGCCTTTGGTCGTCATTGTTGGCCATGTACATGGCACTGTTCTTGGCGCTGGGTGTATGTGGAGAAGACAGTGCCTGTCCTCAGTTACGCAGACTCTTGACCGGCCCTGCAGAGGAGCAGCCCTGTGAGCACGCGTCGTGAACAAGTTAAGTTACTCAGAGAGAGAACTTCCATCAGCCGTGGTTGCACTTAAGCCCCCTCGTCCCTCCACCGCCCGGTCTGGGGGGAAGAAGCCCAGGGGTGAGTGAGCCCCCTGAACGCTCCTCACCATCTCTTGGTTATACAGGTCCTTTTCCAACCCTACCCTCTGCGTTGACAAAGCAGGTTACATGTGTTAGGGATGGAGAAGAATCTGGCTCTAACACAGGCCATGCAGGGCAAACGCACCTCTGGAGCTGGTGCAGACTCCACAGCCGTCCCTGCCGGGAATCAAGGACCCACTTGGGCGGCTCCTCCATCTACGAACCAGGGGCTGTGTTGGGACATCGGATAACACTTCCGCAGCCATCTGGGATCTCAGTCTCCGAAGGGCCCGCTGTGCAACCACAGTAGCGAGGAGGACTGACTACCATGGAGTGTAGCCCACTTAGCGGGAAGTGCCTCTGGAGGAGGAAGGAGACACGCCCCCAGTTACCGAGGGTCACAGCACAGAACCGGCAAAGCCCTCCCTGGCAGGCTTCCCCGGCCCCAGAAACCGCTACGATCGTCCCTGATTGCTGCACCATCAACCCCTAGTCTTCTCCACCCCTCCCCTCCACGGCCACATAACTATGTGTTCTTTGTTAATAGAAAAGAACCCTTTTTAAAAATCACAAATGTATCACTGTAGGAGAAGGTTTAATTTCATCCAGCTCTGATGGAGTCTTCCAGAAGGTACCAATTAGGGGATGCTAAGTCAGGACACGGGTTCTAGTGAGGAGGGAAGAAGAAGAAATGGAGAAGGGGACAGGAGAGGAGGACAGAGCAGGTGGGAGGCCCACAAAGAGACAGGGGGGCCTGTCTAGTCTGCTGTAAAAATAGTCCCCCTCTGCTCCCCACAAAACACTGCACAGCCGACCTATTGGGAAAGGGTCCCCTAATTCTCTGGGAGTTCAGTCATGGCCTCAGGGAATGACCTAGAAATTGTGCTGTAGCCACAGCCTCCCTCTGACAGGGCGAGGGCTGGACAGGTGACAAATGAGACGCTGGCCAATGTGCGTTCGCCTGTTTGCATTCTGAGACCTTGACGCCCTGAGTCCAGAGTCGCTAGGTCCTGACCTCATGAGCACCAAGAAGAGAGGAGGAGTTGGCCCCACAGTCCTGGCGGCCGAGCCACCCTGGAGCCCAGGTACCCTCCGCGGCCCAGCCAAGGGCACGTGGGCAGGCTGAGCGGACGTGAGATGCAGCCCTTCCCCCGGGTGGCCCCGTGACTGAGGAGCAAGGTCAGGAAGAAGGGAGGCTGGTCCTGTCACCAAGGCCAGTGGAGCCCAGGCCCCGCTTGTGAGGGGTCCCGCAGGCGGAGTCTGATGAGGCAGTCTCCCCGCCCCACCCCGCTGCCTGCACCCCTGCTAGGAGGCTCCCAGGGCCCCCGCGCTCCCGAGGACCCACGCCCGTACATTCCGCCGAATTATTGTCTTGTGCAGCTTTTCAGAGCAGAAGGAGAGAAGATTAGGGAAAGAGAAGAGAAAGCTGAAACCTCTGTAATGAAATTTTAAAATCACAGAGCTCCTGCTGTCAATATTTTCCCAGCCTCCAAAAGCATCAAATATTGTTTTATCCCAGCACAAACTGCGAATGCATGTACACAGCTACATATTATAACATTTGGATACACGGACTTGGGGCTGAGCCCTGAGATCGCAGTCACGGCAGCTGCGCGCGGGGTGGCCCCATCGCCAGGCTTTACATAGTTAATCGGTCGCTTTGTCCAGCTGAGCGATGGGGGTTCTGGTCCGTCCCAGTCATTAAAAGCTGCCGCTTTTAAGCACCTGCCTGCCCAGCATCCTGCTTCTGACTGAAAGCTTCTGCTCCTTTGATGAGGGTTTTGGATAATTTCACCAAGTTTCCGTGGCCCTCTCCGTAAGGAAGGAAGGAGTGCTTGGCTCACTCTGGGAAGACTCTGAAGCAGCACTCAATTTCCAGTCCTTAATAAGCCTCCCAAATGTGTCAGCCCGACAGGGCGTTTATCTCAATTGATGCATTCATAGCTCCCCCAAACTGCCGGGAAAGTCTGACACAGACGCACGAGGGCAGGGGCCCAGCTGAGAGTGAAGCTTACACAGCAGCCACCAAACAGGAAATCGGAACCACACTTTGAAGAGTAGATTCAGCCTCAGTTCGGGGTTTTGTTTTGTTTTGCTGGAGCGCTCTCTCCCTGACACACACACAGGTCTGTAGCTGAATGAACCTGAAAGGCTGGTGGTTCCGAGGAAGGGGACATGTCCCCAGCAGGAGTGAGGTCAGGACCCACACGCAGGCCGGGCCGGGCGGCCCACTCCCCAGCTGCTCCCTGGGACTGAAAGGGGGCCGCTGCTGCTGGAGCAGGTCCCCTGGGGGTCGAGCTGAGTGCCCGGGGAGCAGGGACCACCCGGGTGCCTTCCCTGGGGATGCTTGGCCAGAGGGGCTGGGCGCGTCTCCCCACAGTCAGCAGGGACGTCAGAACCATGCCAGCAGCAGCTCGGTTTCTGCTACGTGATCAAGACTCCAAGGACGCACTTTCCGTGCTTTGCCAGACCTCCTGTCTTGGGGCCTCATGCTCCAACAGCCCCCTCGGGGATCACTTGGGCTGGTGGCTGCTGGAGGAGAAGGGGAAATTTCCATTTCTAAGCCCGGGATCCCAGGCCTTTGCAGCCGGCAGGAATGTCTTTCTGCATAACAGACACAAATAGACGCTGAAATCGCAGACTTTGTAGAAAAGGAAAACAAATCTTTAGGCCTGAGGTGGGCTCCCCGAGCCCCCCAGGGACTGATTTTGAGGGTGGCAGCCTCAAAAAGGAGCAGTTTCCAGCCTGTAGCTAAGAAAAACCACCTTCAGGGCCGCACACCTCTGCAAGAGTTAATACCTTTCTCTTGTTTGCTCCCAGCAGCAGCCTCCGCAGAATCCCCATCTTCGTGACATTTTCTGTCCCCCTGGAAATGACTTGATGTCATACTTGGTTCCAAGTATCAGCCTGAACCCAGTGATGCGGAGGCTAATTATTCTTCTTCTCGGCCCCATCTGCCTCGCCTGCTGGGGTGTGTGCAGGCAGTGCTTGCCAGGGGCAGCCTCGGCTTCCGAGAGGGGTTGCCCGGACACTCAGCTTCACCTGCTTGTGTGTGACAACTCCCACCCTGCCCCGGGTGCCTCCAGATACAGTGCAGTGTGATGATGATGTGCAGGCTGGATGAGACTGGTGAGTGGCCAGAGAGGGGCCTCCCCACACAAGGGAGGTAGGAGAGTGGAAGCAGGAGAGGACCACGTTCCCAGAGGGAGGAACAAAGAGCAGGAGACCTCAGGGAGGAAGCCAGTTCACTGGGATGACAGCCTGTGTCCAGCAGACCCTGGTACCAGGATCCCAGCTCAGCTGTTCCAGAAGCAACTAGAACAAAAGCAAGATCTAAGTCTAAACTTGTTCAAGACAAGACTTTACCTCTGTCTTCTGAATCCAAGAATCCCCTTAGCCTCAGAGCTGCCCCACCAAAGACTATGATGCTGCTGCTGAGGATGATGGTGAGGTGATGATGCTGAGGATGGTGATGTTGAGGATGGTGATGCTGAGGATGGTGATGCTGAAGATGGTGAGGCTGAGGATGATGCTGAGGATGATGATGCTGAGGATGGTGATGATGAGGATGGTGAGGCTGAGGATGATGATGCTGAGGATGGTGATGATGAGGATGATGATGCTGAGGATGGTGATGCTGAGGATGGTGACAACAACCAGCTCATGTTGATATGCTATGCTGGGACC